AGAGTATCATATCTTTGTTTAATGGTTGCACATGAGAAGACACAGGAGTATGGATACAACTCTAACAAAGAATATTTATTATTTTCAAGCAAAGGCCACATGGTCTGTTATATGAAAACATTACACCCAAGACCCAAGGTAAAATGGTCTACTGGTCTACAGTACCTTTGGGATCAGTTTTGCTGTACAAAGAGAAGCCAAAGTGAGGGCTGGTTAATCTCATGTCCACGTATGGTTCATCTGAATTCTGGGGAGCCTTGCGCTGCCTTTTGTTCTTCTTTGAGTTTGAGATTTTACCATCCACCTGTGGTTCAGACGATACAAGCATGGTAACAATGTACCACTGAGTACTCACATGCTATACATGTTATTTATAATGACTAATGGTAACAACTCTAAATTAATGTTTGAAATGTGAGCATCATTCTAAAGTCTTTTACACAGCATTTAATGCTCCTTCTTATTCACTTTTTGCGCACACAATTCACATTAAAATTCATAAAAGGTGGAGGGTTAAAAAGGTGAAAAAAGTACTGATAGCTGCAGTATTATYCTGCTTACCAAAGCTTTGTACAGTGGTTCAAGACGAGTAGAACCTCTGTAGATCCATTCTGACCGGTTATCAACCTGAAATAACATCTAATGACACAAACACAAACAGGTCAAACAGGTTAATATAACATATATGAGATCTTAAATGGGCMATCTTAGACCAAACAGAAGTTTTGGCTTTTACATTTTCTGGCTAATATACAAAAAAAMCCACACATTTCTAACTCAAAGGCCATGCTTCACATTCAAATCTAAGAGGAAACTATGTTATTCGGCTGTGGATATATTACATTTTACTGCCTGCTACTCAGTCCTAGATTTCAGATCTTAGACCAACAATGTTTTTAAAATAGGTGTATATTATGTAGGTCAGTAGGGAGGGGGAGACAAGTGAAGAATGTCACTTAAAGTAGTACACAATAATAATAATGAATGTTTAAAAATAAAGGTAAACAGATGGCTATTACCTTAACCAGACTACAGTCTACTTGCATCACTTTAGCCTTGAGCCTAAAACAATACAAAGATAAGAGTAAGTATGCAGTAGGGTATCTGGGGGAACCTCCCACC